GACATTATTTTCAATTGAAAAAGAAAATTATAAAGCATAATACTATAATCCTATGCTTAAAATGTATTTTCTTGTGGCCGCCTGACAGCAACCTGTAAATCTGGCGCGACAGTGAACGTGTTAATAAGTAAATGTTGTTCAAATTATATCGTGTTTGATATCATTTTCATCAGAAAAATCTCAGCAACATGTTAAATAAAATTGCAGATAAAAAAAAGTAAAATTAAAGAAATGATATTTTTCTATTATGATTTGTCGAGCCGTGAAATCTCCGACTGCGAGCGAGATAACATGGGCGCAGCAATGACGCAGACCTAGGCGTAGGACCATCTATACTGTCACTTGTAGAATCCAAACTTACTGTCTCTTGTAGAGAATTTACTGTAATTGCTTCATTTTCGTTCTTGCAAATGTGAATATGATGTATTTTACATTTAACAGAGGCATAACAGTTTGATTAGAATTTAACAATCTCTCGATAAATAGACTATTTTGTTCTAAGTATTTGTGAAGCAACGACGAGTTAACTCGTCTTCCTCGATTAACAGGTTAATTACTGTTCCCACACGAATTCAACGCGCCACAAAATCATGTCTGCAATTTTCCTGCTGGTTAACCCTTTCTCAGATTTACCTCCAAACTGTGTATATATCTCCTTTTCGAATCACATAATTTTTAGAATTTCGAATCATAATTTTTACAATGTTTAGAATCTTGAATCACATAATTTTAAAATTTTTAGAATTGGGAGTCACATAGTTTTTACAATTTCGAATCACAATTTTTATAACTTTTCCAATTTTATTTAATGATTTGGCTCCCTCAGATTCGTCGCATCGACCAAAACCCGAGATCTCCGATCGCACACACGCTGATTAAACGAATGCGTCGATAAACCGTCCACGTTCCACAGTTCCTTCCACCGACGATCTAGTATCATTTTCCGAATTTCTCCCGAATTCGTCCATCAAACACTCACCAACACCGTGGACAAATATTTTCTTCTAATATCTGCCGGGAGGAAGGTCTCTCCGAGAACCGTGAAATTCAGTAGAAACGGCGGTGAATCGTCAGACACGGGGAAAGATATCTCGCCATTGGCAATACCGCGTCGACACGTTCTCTATTCGAACCCCCGTATTAAGTAGCTGCGAGCTTTTTACGCGTCTGCCTTGTCGAGGCTTTTCGTTCGAGATCAAAGCTTCTGGCTGACGATGTATATTTCCCCCCTTTTCTACCACCCTTCGTCGGCCTTTGCCCGTGAAAGCGAGCCAACCGCCAAAAGTCATCCACCGTGCTCGTCTAGCCCGGCTGAATAATCGAACCTGCATGCAATTTCGAGGGCGAAAGGATTGGAAACGCGACGGCACTCTTCGAGGCGTAATTCTCGAAGCGAAAAAAGCGTCTTTCTTTGATTTTTTGAACTGTTTATTAAACAGTGTCGTAAACAAATCATCATATCTAAGCTAAATTACTTCGCCTAATTTGTCCTGGAAGAATTTTCATTTGCAAACTTTCCGAATTTAGTACAACTTTTTACCTGTTCAATTTTTAGTACGTTTAGACGAAGAGAAAAGTAAGAAAAATTGGTAGTGAATGAAGGTTTGAGTTATTCCCTGGTAAATGAAAGAATTTCAATCGTAAATAAATGTTCGTAAGAATTCTACGATGGTCAACAAAGTAGCAGTAGCACTGTAAAAATAACGATGGAGAATAACGGGCTGTCGAGTATTTTCGCCCTGGAGGAGTCCTGTAATTTAGCTGGAAGTGCCCCTTGCTGCACGATACTGTTTGTCCAAGACTTGTAATAGAACACGTCAGCGTATGTGCCAGGGAAACCTGGCCGAGCGCAGCCGTATCCGCCGGAAACCACGCCGGTTAGCACTCCGTTGCAGATCATTCCGCCTCCAGAGTCGCCCTATCGAAGATTAAATTGGAGTAAAATTCGAAGTTCACGGGTGAATCTTTCTCGGATAATTTGAGAAGGAGAAGGATTTATCTGTGTACGATACTCGACTCGCGACGCAATTATAGTCGAGGCGTTTGATGGAAAAAGGGCACATTCGCCGAAATGTCATTTGAAGAAAATCGATTTCAACGTTTTCGTTATCGTATCACTTAATAAAAAGCAGTATTATAATATGTCCTGAGTAGGTTTAAACGATTTATGGAATAGGGGGTGGAAAATCTCCTTTTCTCCAGTAATGTTCCTGATTAAAAAGGAAAAGGAAAGGAGGATGAAAGTGACCGAGATGCGTCTTGGACTGCTCTGTCGCAGGAGAGAAATATGTTCGAGTCTTGAAATTTACGATTTTACTGGACGATCTCGGTTTCCTTACTTGACAAGCATCCATCTGACCCTCGACGTATCCAGCGCAAAACGAGCCCGACAGCAGCTCCGTCACGTTCTCCAAAAGAGTCCGGCATGTGACGGTGTCCAACAATGGCAGATCTATGTACATCAGATCGTTGGTCACTTCAATGGCATCCTTGGGCAGAAAAATCGCGAATATACGAAGCATTCGTTGAAACAAACTGAAGAACATTTAATCAGCCATACAATTACACTTTACCAGAAATCTATTCAACCCTTTCGCGACTAGCGCCGGTTATATCCGGCATCCACTAAATGCTTGACACT